AATTGGAATAGCATCAGCCGCATGGACGTTCCGCTACGCTCGTCGTTATCATTTATGTACGCTGTAATCAATTGTATAAGCTACCTACTGGGATCGCTCCAACCGCGGACGTTAAAATCAATCCTCGTGAGAAGTTAGGGCCTTAAGTACCCTTAGACATCAGTTTTTCGTGATCCTCGACGGCGTTATCCTTGTATCCAACACGATTTCTTTCCACCTCTCGCGTTCCCCTTGGGAGATTTCTCCCGTAGACGGACACTGCGTCTGGAATCCTCTACAAATAGATTATCGAGCAGCTTAATCTCGCCATCCATCCCCTCGATTTACCGTTCCACGGAGGAAACCGATTAAAACAATCTGCCCGTCAGTTTCAAGTTAACTGTACATGCGTCTCACGGCCATCTAGCATTCTTCCAGAGGATGCGCCCGGCGCTTTCTCGTTTTGCATTCGTTCTTCCGCCGAGTCGAGCTTTCTTACGGCCAATCTCGTTCGTATCGTTTCTCTACAATACAAGCGGTAGCAGCTGACTCCTCGCGTTCGAGCTCGGACATGTTGGCTACCCACGAACTGAGAACTGCCCAGGGACAAGAAGCGCGAGCACTCGCGATGTTAGCTTGAGTGGTTACTATGGCAACAGCGACGCCTCGGTTTTAACAGATTCTTATCACTAGAGCCCGGCTCGCTTTCTTTTCCATTCGCGGAGTGCTTTTCCAAATCCGAAACTTCTGTCGCTCGTTATACAAGCAATTACGTTACCGTGCTTTCTAAGTTGATGTTGCAGAACGCCCGTTCTTTATTACGTCCGCCGTATTCCATGCGTTCGTTTCCTAGGATCGAATCGTTCCTCTTCTTAATTGCAACACTCGGGTCCCTATCGCAATTATACAATGTCCACTACACTGCAATCGCCAGCACAGTGTCCATCGGCGAGCCACGTCTGCCGTTACGCGGGCACCGATCGCGACCTGAATGAACGGCGTTCGTCGTTTTTGCACGCAAACTCGAATCTCGCACGATGATTCATCGGCGCGAGGTATCCGCGCGTTTTCGCGACTGCTCGTTCAATCGGGTTTCACGCTTTCGGTTTCTTTCCGGGGGACCACGACGCACAGGACTTTCTACCGCGATGACTCCGCGTGGCCGCGCCGCAGACGCGGCTTTTCCGGCGAATAACGATGAACTCTCGGGGTTTCGCGAGTTACAATAACAACCGTTACCGCTGCACGAGAAACTACGTTCGCGTAACGGTGAGCGGTATTATCGGAAAAAGGAGAGGCGCGTAGATGGGCACTGTCTATCCAGGAATACGCTATAGTGCGGTATGCTTCATTGATTTCTCAGCGACTGTCGGTCATCGCCGGCTCCCAGCGAGCGATGACACGACCGCGCTTCTTCGAAAGGAAGTCTTTGCCCTGATTGAGTCGCGTCACGGAACAGGATCGAACGGATTAGAAAATTCTCGTTAATGGTTTTATCGTTAAGCCTGATTGAGACCCTTTTTCAACGGTTATCTCTGGAGCCAGAATAGTCCTCTAGACTCGCAGTTTGCGGAACTATTTTCGAAAATCGCAGATTCGATTCGAAGCTGCTTCTGTCGCTGAATGAAAAACATGATCAATTGAATCGTTCCCATCTACAACGAACAAAATATCCGTAGGAAGAAAATATGATTCCACTTTACCGTGACACTGAAATCGTATCGCAATGATACAACAACGGTTTATCGGTGAAAATGGAATCGAATTATATCGTAGAATGACAGGGGGGACCTCATCTTCGGTGTTAAGTGGACGCGAAGGTGGAAACATCGCTCGATAAATAACTCCATCTCAGCGAGGAAAGGGACGATAAAAATTTTTACGAGAAGCATACACGGTATCCCGTAAAGATAAATCGTCGTCGAGGGTCTAATGAATTTTTCAATCTCCCGAAGCTCGACAGGGTCGCGAGTGTATCGAACCGGTAGCGTAACGTCCCGAGTCCGTAGCTTCCGTTACCTCGGTCCCTTTCGAAAAATCGAAAAAGGGCCCCGGCACAGCGGTTTCCGTAGGAGCCGCGCGACGAACAGAGATGCTGGTCGCAGATAAAAGTCCTACACGGGTGGAACGTTCAATTTTCTGAAACCTGTTTCCCACAGTGCGCCTCCGCTCCCTCGAACGGGTTTCGTTAGGCGCATGCATTTCACGCTCGTATGCTCGCTCGGGCGTCTTTAAAGCCCGTAAATTAACGTTCCCGTTCTTACGATCGCGGCTGCGCGGTCGCCCGCGGAATCTGAAAATTCGTTAAGTATCTTAATTAAAAACCGTCGCGGAACACGACCATGTCCGGGGACCATTCGCGTTTCATTTCTTAATCCCGGTGCCGCGCTCGAAGGAATACCGGGTCTCGGGCCGGACGATTACCGATACCGTCCTTGAAATTCTCATTTCACCGTGTTCCGTCCAATTAGCGATAGCTGATTGCCGGCCAAGGACTTTCAGCGGTTAATGTTACTCGATCTTCCATAACGAACATGACAGAAAACGGTTCATACGTGGACTGAGATTAACGATTGATTCAGTAATACTTTCATAGTTACAGAATTGGGTCACAATTGCATTATACTCGAGAAAACTGTCGCGTCTAACAACCCCTAATGAAAAATGCATACACAGCACTCGAGCGACCAACTAGCCTATCTGGGTTACACGATTACAATTAGATCAATGAATGCTTCTTTCCGGACACAAAGTCAAACTGACTGTCCCCTATCTCTTTATAGAAAGTAGAACAGCATATTTATCAAAGTTCCGATTGACTTGTATCTCTGTGTATCGCGAAACCAATCATTTTAAAAGAAGAACTAAGGAATGGGTCAATGTTCAATATTGAAAACAGCTCGTGTTATACTAGCAATTTCACGGAGCCCGTAAAAGTCGTTTCGTCTAACGATCCCCGGCCGGACAACGATTTATATGAGCGGCGGGGGTTGAAGAACCGATAAGCGCGCGTGTGTTATATGGAACGTGAAATCGGTAGCTAGCTTCCGCATGTACGTCGCTGGTCGACTCGATGTTGCAGTCTTCACGTATTTTAATCGAGTCGAGTAGACGACCCGGCGACTCCGCGCGCGGCACGATACTCCTCCTCCTCCTCCTCCTCCTCTTCGACCTCCTGCGGAAGAGGGGTGCGCGCAAAGAGAAAAGTCATCCTTCTCTCTCCCTGTTCACCCTCTCTCGCAATCAGGGGTGAGTGACTCACGTTCCGCAGCTTCGACGCCGACAGTCGTCGGGGAACGCTTACCCTCGAAATATTGATTCGCCGGCTCGAGGGAAACTAGCTGCCGCCGGCTAACACCCCACGCGCGCATCGCCGTATCTAACATTTTTTTCTCCGAACCGTGTTCCACTCTTCTGGCTTCTTATTCGCCTTATTTTCGGGTCTTCCGCTCGTATTACACCCCTTTTCCCTCCCGTCGATCAACTAGGATCTCCGATCCATCCATTTCGCAGCAGGTCGAAATGCAACGAACAACTCCTTTTTCTAACGACATTGTAAGCATTTGTACCTCTGTAATCCTTTCAAGCTTTTAGTCTTCCGCTCGCGTTACACCCTTTATAGACCCCTCGATCAGCTAGGATTCTCGAATGATCGGAAGAATGCGGGATATATTCATGACCGCGGATCTTCGTGCAAATTCGAATGTTGAAAAATCTAATTGGAAAAGTACAATTACGGTAGGAAATACTTTCTTCTAGAAGATATTCTAGAAAGTGATATAAATTGGATATTACATTTGTTCGTATCGTATGCACTCTGTGCGATTTTACACTTATAAATTTGCCACTGGCGATGAACAGTTATTTTTTAATTGGAACTTAACAGCTCGTGCTTGGGCAGTCGTTAACGGGCCAAACACGTTCGTAAATTATTTCGCGCGGAAACGCGAGGGCCCTCCGTTGACAAAACGAAAAATACCGTGCACGGAATGAATTATTACCTAGTCACGTGAAATGTCAGGAATGCTCCTCTCCTATAGAAACGGGGAGGACGCGTACACGCAGCTTTTCTAGTTTCTCTCTTCCGGTCGGGCGATGAATGCACGAAACCACCGAGGCTGCTCTTTACGGGACAAATATACGAGCGACTTTCTTGGGTTTCTCGCAAGTGGCCCTGTAAGCGATACTCTTCTTAAACGAAAACCGCAGGAATGGCTTTACGCTGGGAAAAACGGCTCGCAGACCTTTTTTTCTCCGAGATACTTTCATTCACGAGCCTAAAAGCCTACCGGCCTTTAAGACTGATCTGCGAACATAACCTTAGTTTCCAAAATATTCTTAAAAAACCAATGTTCCTGATACGGCGAAAATAATTGCTGAATATTGTTCTTGAAAACATAATATACATAGTACGCAGAAGCAATCTCATTTCCTCTGACTGTTTCCAGTGAAACGCGTGAACCACGATGACTTGAAATAAAACGTTAACAAATTGGACGCAGTTCGGGGCAAGTATAATTAACCCGGAAGCCATTTTGAAACAAGTGGAATGACACTTGCCCCTGTAAGAAGACTATTCGTCATTTCTTCGAGGAAATCAGTTTTCGTCTAATCTCAAGTTCAGGCAGCAATAAACACGTTAATCCTGACTAATGAAACCGCGGCTGAACGATACCAATGAACGCTTTTATTCGATCAGGTCGCTGTTCCATCAAAAGTCACTATATTTATCACTATATTCCGCCGCCAGTGCGTGCGTAGCTTTCTCGCAACGGGGTGGCTCGAATTCTGTGCACGGTTCGTAAGAATCGAGAAAAAAGTCGAGGGGAAGAAAAACGCGGTTATTTCTCGGTGGGTAAACGCAAAGTCCGGGAAGATAGATCGCAGCAAGGACTCATTACACGCCGTGTTCTCCTTCTAATTAAATCAGATGTTTTTCCCGTGAGAAAACAGCGAGTCGCGGCCGCCGTTGAAAAATCGAGGGAAGACGAGAACGCGACACACGCGAAAGGGTCACTCACCGTCCCGCCAAGGTCGTCGGCTGAGATTTGTCACATCGCGAGTCACACCCAGCTTCTCGAATTAATCCTTGGTGGATCCTTCGGTTATCTGTTTATTCCCGTGATCGTGCGATAACCACTGGCTCGTCACAAGGGAATGCCGCGGATCGAAGGGACGCGTATAGACACAAGCGCACACGCGAATACCACCACGGCGTGTCCACCGGGAACGACGTGCACGCAGTTCAGCTGCCCTCGGCAGCGTCGCGACTACTACGAACCAGTCCATGCACGCACGAACCAGTCTTACGTGCGAGCGTAGTAGAGGGCGACTACCTGCGACCGTGTATCTCGACATTGACTCCGAGCGACGATCGAACCAATACGATCTCCGCTTTGGAAACCGATACACTCGATTCACGCATTTCTCGATCCCTTTCTTTCTCGCGAAACTCCCCCGCTACTCCGCGCGAACCGAACGATTTTCCGAAAATATTCCTGTTACCTTCCGATCGCCCCGGCTGCCACCCGTAATGTATGTACGTTGTACGTGCATCGAGTGTCCGTTCGGTCACGTGAGCTTCTCTGTTTTAGTAACTTTTCCTACATTTTCTTATCTCTATTGTAATACATGAATAATAGCCCTCTGCATTTTTTTGGTTCTGTAACTCTTTTTCCATATCAAAGGGCCACTACTGGATAAACTATTGTTGTCCTTATTGTTTTTGAAAATATTTTGTGCATACTGTGATTCGATAGAAATATTATTCCTAACGTTCGCCTGATTTAAAGACGCGAGAAGTAGTATTTGTTTTACGATTGTCCTGCGGAGACCAGTTCTAATGGGAGCCCCTACGCAAAAGTCTACGAAAGTCAAAGTATAATTTTTGTTTGCTTTTAACGATGCATTCACAGTTAGAATAATGTATCAAAGAATTACTTCGAAAGCAGTTAAATTGAACACGAAGTATGGACTGCTTTCTGTGCACTGGATGTAATAGCCCTCTACGCTAATTATCGTTAAATTAGTTGCACTGTCCTATGATCGTTCTATTATTGATTGCAAGATAAAACTGTCATGGGAAATTTATTATACTTCACTGCATCGACAAAAAAGAATCAAAGACGTCAAACGTTACAACACTCTCAGTTACTTTCGAAAAATGAACACGTTCTACGAGACTGTCGATATCTTCACTCGTTGCCAGTAACTGATGTGGGGTTTGAACAATAATCATTTTTGGACCTCGTGAAAGATGAAATTCGCACACATACGGTAAAAAAAATTCAAGTAAATCGAAGAACACAAGCACACACCTTGCTTCAATCGGCAGCGTCGGCGACTGTTGCAAACTCTCTCCTGCACGTGCAAGAACGTCACAACACATCTAAAGAAATCGTGTGTATGTAACAATCCGACAGCGGTCGACCTTTTATTGCTGGTATTTCCTGTTACACCATATGCAGGTAATACGATGTCTCGTTCAATTTCTTCGTGCTCTATTCTAATAAATCCTTGCCAGATATCCGTACTGTAAAATATAACGTAAAAAGCGATTTCGACTGGAAATTTTTGAATTAAATTAAAGCAACATTAAGTCGGCGCTACTTTTTGTTTGAACGCCATCTGTGTGATACCATTCGGGAATAGTACTGCAGATGGCACCACTCGGTTGGCGGATGATTTTCTTCGTGTTTTGTCCGGCATATTTTAATCTGATTTTAGCGAGGTCGAAATACCGCTGCAATTGTATTCAATTGTTTGTCGTCAATTATGTATGACACATTCAACAAAGTCAAGGTGAGAAGTTTATTAATAATTCCAACCGCATTTGAATCCAGTTACGATCGTTTAATTGTCTCGTAAAAAGTTCATTTCCGAATCGTAAATGAAACAGTACACTGTATAAGGTACTATATTTTATGGGCATCTGAACATTTATTATGTTTATGAGATAATGTTATTTAAAAATAGATATCCGAAATGGATACTGAGCGAAATGAAACTAAAGAGCAACCTTGTGATAAACTGGGTGCCGACGATGTGTGGAAGGACTTCAATTGTCCAAAATACGTTTCTCGTATTTGCCCTAAAACTAATAAATTGCCTGCGAAAATATTTGATTTTATCAAACCACCCGAAACTGATTTAAATTACACTTTGCAAAAATTGGATGAACTTATATTGGATCCTGTAACAAAGGACAGTTCACCGCGCATTTGCAGGCTCTTGTATCAATATTTTCATCAAACTGGAGATAATGGTTATGTATCCTTCCGTGGATAAATTTTTTAATTTAAAACATTGAATTTCTAATGGTAAATTCATTTTCTATGAATATATACGTCTATAGGTACTTGTCATTTTTTTAATAATTTAAGAAAGTTTCCTTAAAAGTATTTCTAGAAAATAAAAGATTTGCCAAAAATAATGAGGATATTAGAGTTTTTGACTCAAAATGTTAAATCATTTAAAGACTATAAACCACATCTTGATCAAATGTTGGATCTTTGTCAGTTACCACCTTTGTTAGACAAATCTTCTGAAGTTTTATTAAACAATAATATATTGGAACAATATTTTACGTTACTGGGACATTTACTTATTGTTTTGCCACATAAGGAACAAGTGTTGAAGGTTTATAAAGCGCTTCATTGCTTGTTATTAAAAAGAGATGCCTCAAATGTAACAGCAATTAAAATTAAACACTGTCATAAAGTTGTAGAAAAGTCAGAACTGCCATTGAAAGTAGTCAAATCATTGCAATCTTCCCTACCAGAAATGTATGAAAAAATTTTAGAATTGGTTTTTCTACTCTCTTCTATTTCTTACACATGCTGTAAGTACTAAAAATAAAACAAAAGTAAAAAAATATGGTCATTAAAATTCTTCTATATTATTCATTAAAGCTCATAAAATGTTGAAAGTTGGTGTACTCAATATAATACTTGTTAGAATGGATCTTCCTTATGCAACACAATTACGTTGCACACGTCCACCCGATTCATTATTAACAAGAACTGAATATCCTGAGGACACAACCCTTTTAATAATGAACACTTTGTGGAATTTAATGAAATCCATTCTTCCTCCTAAAATAGTGCCTGCTACATTGAAGACAGCATTATCTTGTGCACATTGTGCATTATGGTAAAGTCTTCAAAAAATGTAATATAATAGTGCTAATTGCTTAATACACATTTTCAAGTAGACTAGTAATATAAATTTAATTTAAATTATACAGGGGTTTATCTTATACATTTGAGAAACAAATATTCTACAGCAGATATCAAAATATCAGCATAAAAATCAGGAATGAAATTGCAGTCATTATTCTTTCAATCTTACTTACTTTTCCTTCTTGGAATTTTATTAGTAGTGGCATAGCAGATAAAGTTATTAAGTTCTTAATAGCTGTGGAAACTGGTTCTGTAAGAGTATTTTCAGAAACAATAGAATTTGGCAGAACCAATGAAGATTTGTTCTTTCAAAAAATTTTATTTCTAATTGTCATGCATATGTCTCAAATTGATGCATGTATTTCTGTAATTATTTCATTAACTTTTAATCCATACTATATTGTAAAAAATAGCTATTTCTTGGTGTCCTTTTCGTATAGTTGATGGTACATAGAAAGTTAATGAAAACAATACTTCAACTTGTAAATCCTGATATTCAGCATTCAAAAATTACTTGGAGTGCATCTCAATTTTGGAACTTATGGGTGTATGCTATTAATTCTGTGTCTGTGTTAGCACCTAAAATGCCAAAAGATTTTGTAACATATAATGGCACAATTAGGTATTTGAAGTTTAATAAGGAAAATAATTAAAATTTTCATCTATTCATACTATAAAATATTCTAATATTTTCGTAGATTATTGATGTTAATAGATTGGAGTTTAACTACACAGTTTGATATAGATACTGTAACACATTGTATGAGAACAGTCTGTTCAATTGTTTTAAGTGACAATACTTTCTTATTAGAAAATCTTAGAGAGCACGGAACAACAGTATCATTAATTAGTAATTAGTAATTTAAATTTATACTAACTTCTATTTATAATTATTTGCACATTACATAATAATCTTATTTTAACACCTTATAGAATTGATTAATTATATTTTAACTTTTCGTAAAATTGCAATGAAGGAACAAAGAATTTTAACACTAGTGTTAATTTCAATTGAGAGGCTTTTAAAGAAGCAAACCTTTTATCAAGAAATGTATGGAGATCAAAGTATTGCATTTGTTTTGGAACTTCTTTTCAGATGTCTGTATCAAAAAGATACAGAAATTCAGGTAGATCAACGGTATGTTCATTCACATTATTGCATATAGGATTTTTTTAAATTATTATGCTATAAAGGGTTTTGGTAGCCTTTTGGTAGCATTAGGTTCATACATTTGGGAGTGTATAGTGTCTTGCCCTCCAAATCTTGAGAAATTTATGGAAACTGGAGCAGTCTATGTTATACTTGATATCATTGAAATTGTCCCATACCCATCTCAGTGTCTGTTTCTTAATATTTTAACTGATATGTGTGACAATTTTTTCTGTGGGCCTTATTTATGTACTTGGAGAGGAATTAACAAGAAAACAGGATTAATGTCCTTGTTAGCAACAATATGGAGGGAAGAAGAAATCCGGCTTGAAGTTAAAAGATGTCCAGATGGTTCTGTCATAGGCAAATTACAACTTTATATCATTTCTTGTTAACAAAATTAGATTTCTACAGGTAATTAAGCAGGGATTAAATAGATAATATTAAACAAAGTATTTATTTGTTCATCAGATGAGGAATCTCCTTCTATGGGCAAGAAACAATGGGTAGAAACTTTTCAAACAAAGTTGTTTGGACACGTTAGTCCAGCAATAAATGACATGATTGGTTCAGTTAGAGCAAAAATATATAGTATTAGGAAAATTATTGAAAGGGATAATGAAAGATATGAAATGGCCAAGAAACATTACAAAATATTATATTTTGACCTTCCAATAGAGGACAGAGTGAGTGTTTTCTAGGCAGTTTGTTGAAACATGATTATTACATAACAAGGATACTTTTTCAGATCACAATATCTGCCATAGATTTGTATTTTAAATTGAAGTTAGGTCAAGTATGGGTAGAACTTGATATGTACTTTGAACAAATTGGTATCACTCCACTTGGTATGGATGGACAGGCAATATTTTTGATGACACAAAGATATCATTCATGGGGAATATTGTTGAAAGAAAGACAGAACAAAATAATCCAATCCATAAAAAGGGATGAAGATATACAAGAAAAAGATGAATATGCTAGAATTCGAGATTCTAAGTTAATTCTGTCCTTGAATGCATTTGATGAATTAGATTATATATATAGAACAACGAATAGAGAATATATGATAAAGAAAAAGAATGAACAAACAGATCAAGTCCATTCAGCTCTGAATTTTCAATCAAAGAAAAATCACGAACACAATCACAGAACGTTTATGGCTAAAGTCCATTTCACCGTAAATATGAATTATTAATGATCAAACGTAAAAATTTCAATTATCCTTCTTTAAACATTTTTTACAGGCAATATTTGATCAATACGTCACATTCAGAAATCTAACGTCCGATTCAAATTTTGGCCAAATGAAGGTTCTTCCTGTTTCGCCTTGCGAATCTCATATTTTCGACGAAACAGATTCTTCTGAAATTACATCTTTGTCAAGCGATAAATTTTCCAAACTAGAAGAATTCAACCAAGAAATATAGTCGAAACAAACTAAATTCATTCTTTATCCTATTTCGTAAACGTAGAAGCCTACATTACCGGTAAAAATAATAAACTTATTTATTTATCTTACGTCGAGGATATAAATTTAAATAAAATTCTAATTTATCCTATGTATTACTAGTTGAACAAACGCGACACGTCAGCTTCATTAACACTTTATTACGATTATTAACTTATTTCTCGAAATATCTACGCAAGATGTTAATGTAAATGAAAGTGTATTGAAAAGAAAGTAATTTAATGCTGTTTCGAATGATTCGCTTTTCGATCGATATAACAAAATATCCCGATTGTACTTTTCAGTAAATTCTATGAAAAACGTTGTCTTATTTGAAATATATTCAAAGCGTACACCGTGTCAGCAGTGATTTGATTGGCTCGGTGGTTATCTTGAGTCGAGATTCTTTCAATCATCTAGATAACCTAACGGAAACTCCCCCAGGAGAGCGGCCGAGGAACAACGCGACGGGGGCGATGAGCCAGTGAGAGCCAACATGCCGTTCCCGCCGCAAGCGATCGTTGTCGTCGTTCTCGCCCGTCCGGTACCGGTTTAAAGACGCGTCGGAACAAAGTTCTCCTTGTTGCGTGCAGTTCGTGGTTCGGTATCGTGAAACAAAACCGAAAATTGGTCGCGCGTACCACGTTGAAATTCTTGCCGCCACTCGAATCGTTTTGTGGTGACGTTTGTGAACACCTTGGCTGAACTTTCTTGCTTACTCTTGTGAAAGAAAGAAACTCGTTAACCCGTTTCCGGTCGATTCGGATTTTCCTATACATCCATTCCGTTCCTCTTGTTTTTCGTCGGCGGCATCGTGTTTCTTTGACAATCTGTGCGTCTTTGCCTATCGTTCCCGTTCCATCCCGTCTCTCTACGTCGTTTCTCCGTGCCCCCCTCTTCCCGATCATCTTTCCGTCATCGTCTTGCGAGTCGCGCGCGAGGCAGACGAGATACGATACGAACGGCCGCGCACGGATTTATATATTCCGTGTACCGCAGCTACGAGAGTTTAGCAACTACGTAAATATGGCGTGTGAACGGTGGTGCTTTAACCGTGGCTGTGACGGAGCTATCCGAGGATGGCCTTGCGTCCTGTTGCTGCTGGCATTCTACGTGTTCCAACCGAGCATCGCGGCCAACGAGTTCAGTGAGTCTTTTCTCGAATCAACTTGTTGCACCCTGGACGCGTTCCCTAACGCCGCGACACGGTCTCAGGGATGCCTCTCTTTTTCTCCCTTTCTCTCTCCCTTTTTTACTCTTTTTCTCTCTTGCTCTCTCACTCTCTCTCTCTTTTTCTCCCTTTTTCTCCCTTTTTCTCCCTTTTTCTCCCTTTTTCTCCTGGCCTTTCTACGGAAAAAGACTGTGACGAACGCGTGACAGAGAGACATGGTGCCAACGGATCAAAAGAAAATGGTCAGGCAAGACGAAAAGGGGAAGGAAGAGAGAAGAAGTTCATTGTCGAAAGACCAAGCGAGAGAGAAACGTGCGCCTCTTCTGACTCTTCTCTTCTATAGCGTGACCATCTTTTTTCACTTTCTCGTACCGTGAACTATAACATTTTTATTTTTCTAAAAATATCTGCTTTCCATAGACATTCCAATCCAAGTGGTATTTCAATACGCGAACGGTTAAACCGTTCTAACTCTTTCCGTTTTATGAATTTCATCTCGAGAATTATCGAGATGCTCAGTCTACGTGAAATTAGCTTCGATTCATCGAAAGTTCAGAGGGTTCCTCTTGAACCCTCGAACGAGTCTCCTATCTCTGTTCGAAAAAGGACATTGTATATTTAAAGATGCTCGGTAATTTACGCTGGTAAAAGCCTATCTCCTCAGCGATATCTTAATGGATTATCATTCGGACCGGTTACAGAAGTGCCTTCTTACGATGTCATCTTAACCAGTTGGTTTGTTTTATTCAACTTCTGTTCAAACTGGTATCTCCCTTCTCCTTCTCTCTTCTGTGTCTCGAACTTTCCTGTTTACGTCACACCTGCAAATCTCGCCCGATAAACATAATCGGTTTTAGCATATTAGCTGTATTTGAAAACGCAAATGTATCCGTTGGCATCGGTTATACAGAGTGGTTTATCGCAATGGTACCGTCGAACGAGCGTCGACAATTTTCCGAAGTCTCGTTTCTAATTTGATATTGCGCGAAAAATACAAGCTAGGTTATGTACAACATTTCTCGAGACACGCGTGGTAGGTGGTCCGCCTTGACTGTTCGCGTTGTCCCGGTTAATTTGTACCTTATAGAAAAGATATTGTTTTCGTAAATCGGTTCGTAGGCGTGGGTTCCCGAGGCAGATCGAAACTACGAGCTCGCGACACGTTATTCCTTCCCGTTTGTCATTCCATGTTTAGCGTTCGATCGCTGGCGTCGCTGATTTTTCGAAGTCGTTAACCTTTCCCGGCTTACGTTCGCCCTCCCCCCTTCCGGCTATCGAGAAAATACGAGCGTCCGATCCTTTTCTCGGAATACGTCGCGATACTTTCTATTTCAACAGGAACGCGTGCTTTTACGAGAGCTGTATCGCCACGAGGAGGCCCCTAGTGGGGAGGATTTCGATTTAGCGACAATAATAATAACAACCGTAGCAAGTGCAACCATTCACTTGTGTTGGCACGCGTTCACGCGATCCAGTCATCGAGGAGGGATAAGCTCCTCTGTTCGACATTATTCAGTCTCTGTTATATGGCCGATTTTACGAACCCCGATGCTCGCACGAGCGCAAATAAACACGAAAGAAAAGCATAATAATCGATCTGTTTGCTTTTCTTGCGCCATATTTGTGCGCGTGTATCCGAAAGACGCATGGAGTTCCCGAGATGACGGATCGAGAGATCACCATCGGGTGGCTCGTTATATTTTTAAACGATTTCTTTCGTCCTCGGGCTTTCGACGAAGAAAATACCTATAGCTATTACGCTGTTTATGCGGACTGGCCAGGTTTCGTTTATCTCGCGTTCCGCTCGATCTCCGAGACGGTTAATGCGTCGTAACGCGAGTACCGCATTCGAACAATCTTTTTCTCGTTGTTTTCGTTAGGGAGTCGAATCGTGCACTGGGATTCCTCGTTGTCGCGCACTGCGATAGGACGCAATTGCTGCTCGAGCTAGAAATTAAGTTACCATGGTATTACTTTTTTCGCGGTAATTATGATTGCGGTTCGATTCGTTTTCTAAGGCCGTGTCATAATTGCTCGGCATTATCGCCTTCGCCTCGTCGCAAAGGAAGCCTGAATAGAGTGACGCATAGCACAATAATGTTCAAGGTCGTTCCTCCTCCGACCACGAAAGAAGATAAAGGGCCTCCTACGTGTTCGGAGGGGCAACCTTGGACAGTATTCGGCGGATAGTCGAATTCAGAGCCAGTTTTATATATCACGAATCATCTTTGTAAAATGCTAACGCAACTGGTTTTCTCTTAAGATAGGATTATAAACGAAAACTGAGTTCAACGGACGCGGCTTGGTTCGTTGGCGAAGGACGAGGAGGATATGATCGAATTAAATGGAATTTCCAGAGCGATCACGACATGATCCAATGTTAAACGAAAAAGTGCGTCACCGTGACACGTATAACGGCTCCGTCGTTGTTTATCCTTCGACGGCTGTCGCATCTTATTAAATGATGCATGACTAATTATCACGAGATCGTACGAAGCATTCAATTACGGACACGGGATCGAAAAAAACAAATACACACGTGTGCGACGCCGCGCACGATACACGAAACAGAACGGAATAGCAATTAACAAATTACGCAACAGATCCTGCGGCTCGCCGGCGCAACGAGAAATGCTCAAAGTTTCTACGCCAATTTATGCCCCTAAAACTTCCAATAAAGAGAAACGAAATTCAACGCGAGAGCCGGACACCCGGGGTTTCCACGTGTTGCGCGCCATTAAGCTCGCCGCGGCCTCGATTTTTCTGGATCAGAGAAGTCCATCAAACCGCGCCGCGTGCAGCGACGTTAAACTTTACAGGATCAACGTTACGCGTTCGCATTTTACTCGATTTAACTCGGACGCGACGCTTTCCCGAGCTTCCGTGCTGAAACGATCGGCATCACCTTCGCGTGACTTCGCCATTTTCAGATCTAACGCATTGCAGTCTAGTTGACTTTCCAAAATTTCTCTATAGAAACCCCAAGAGAGCATCAGTCGAGACTTCGATCACTCGTAACTTGGTTTGCGTATTACTGGAACAATCTCTTTAGAAATTTCTTGGAGAAGGATCTATTATTTGTTCCATAATTTTAACCCATCCGGTAGTTCTGGTGTTAGACACTGCAACTATGTACGAAATCATTGCTTTATTCTTGTTTTAGTAGTTTCTGTGGATATTCATGTTTCGCTTTTTCTTGAGAAGCATTCAGGATTTCGAATGGAACGCATCGTTGATCGGTAGAATGGCGTTACGCGGAAAGTACTATCGGAGTGTTAGCATAGGAGCCACGTAATGGGCGCCACAGGCGCCGACCACGCTACCTTTCTTTCTTCGTATTTTCCCTTGAATGACACGTCATTTTCCGCAAGAATCATTTTCTTCCTCGCTCGGACCGCGAATCGTACAGGAGCACCGCGAAAACAGGAAAAATTGGGAAAGCACTCAGCAGGGATCGCATTAAAATACCATTAGTCATACGACCTCGCGTTCCCAGCGAGTCGAACCTTGGGTTTTTCACGTTCGATGGGATTGTTATTCACGGTTTTAAGCCTGATCCCCACTGCCACCTCTAATGCTCTCTTGTTTCCACGCCACACCGCTGGTACTTAACATTTTTTAGCGAATTCTTTCCTACAAGTGAATTCAACGAACTTCGGAGATTAGAAAATAAATTCAGTGTACCCTTAATCGCAACGAAGCGTCGTTTAGAGAAGAAATCTCCGCGAGAACGCGTGCTTCGTCCTGTTTCTTTTGAACAGCCTGTATCAACGAGGCACGTCCACGAAAGCCTGAATCGATTCGATAGTTAGCGGTAACGACCATATTTCGAAACGTTTTTTTTCTCACGCGAGTGAACAAGGAATACGGTGCTCGTCTGCTGACTCGGACTAGAAAAAAAATCGATGGACGGTTCTATAGGTATGAAGAGGGTAAAAGGGAGAGAGGAGGTCAAGCTACTGTTGCGTACGTGCTTTTCAGTAATAACGTGTCCCCATTCAAGCGTCGCAACGCTTACGTCCTGTTGCGCCGGAAAGGTCAATGAATGTCCAAAGCTGCGATCCATGGTTCCTGCGTTGCAAGATGGCTGCAAACTCTTAATACATCCTGATCAAAGTATCGGGAAGCTGTCACTGAAAAGCGCGAACAGTTTCATCGGCGAACAAAGTTAGGGTTCCCAAAGATAGTGGACATTTTAACTATTGGTACAACTGTATATTCGATTCGATGATGCATCGCTGATACGTTCTGGTCCTGTTTTACATTTTGCTCTAAGGATGCAAACGTAATACTTGCTTCGACTAAGGGATTACGATTTATGCCCATTACAAAAACAGTGTCTATGTCGACACTGCAGGTATTACGAGACAGCGAACAGCGATAGGTAGCTAACTGCAGCAAATGTGATCGGATGGTTACCGTGGAGGCGGGGGACCATCTGCATAATATTTTTCACAACGCTAGGATCCGGGGAACGGATCGAAAAGTAACGTAAACTGGATCGTGACGGAGCGGACGGTGTGGTAACCGGCGTCGCATCGGATCGTATCGGTTCACACGTTCCTGAAACGATGCACGATCGGTCGGTTGCCCCATCGGTCCATTTCGATTTCTCCCTTTCGTGCCCTGCAGAGCCGAAAGTGCAGATGAAATGCAAGCCCTATCTATTCTCTCGAAAGCGTCTAATAGAAAAGAAACTCCGATACCGGAGTCAGTAAATTTCACTTAAGGCAGCGAGTGCGCGTTGAACTTGATTCTATTTCTGCTCAAGAGCGTGGAACAAGTGTGCTCCAGGAAAGAAACGCGTAGGGTCGCGAGTTTCGTTTCGAGTGGGCTTTCGCGAACAATAAGCGCGCTCGTTAGGCGGCACGATCCCGGTCCCAGCAGTCCCAGTCGAGGCAGGGACCACTCGCTCGGAACAAGTCGAAACAAGTCGAAACCGTCCGCGACAATGGGCTGCGAAGCGCGAGGCACTC